TACGTGGGCGCCGTTGCGCAAGAAAGAAAGACGACAACAATAGCAGGAATTGGGGGGGTGGGTGGAGGGAAGCGGGCGCTCAGCCGAAAGGTGATTTTTATTGTTCCGTTCTCAATGCGTCGCTCAAACTGTTTGGACCTCGAACAACATGTCTCCATCGTAGCGCGTGTATTTGTGTGTGTGTGTGTGTGGGCGTGCGCGTCGCTGGGCTGCAAAACCGCACGGCGAGAGCAAAGGAACAAAGAAAAAAAAAAAAAAGGTGGGGGTGTAAAGCAAAGCACTTCAGTGTGAGCTGAGTCGGGAATTGCGTCCTCACGCGTTTTCGTCGTCAGACTGACAGGAAACTGTGGAATTTCATCACGCGTCGCAGCCGCATCTCTCACCCGTGCGGGTCCTCTCGGTTTTGTTTTTTTCCCATCGTTTCCCAAACTGGGGAGGGAGCCTCGACGCGCGCACCGTCACCGCAAACTCTCGCGCAACCGGACAGGGGCGCCACGCGCGGCACCGACAGTGCGCCACCGGCCCAAGGGTTGTTGCGCTTCACGACCGGCGTGCCTCTTTCTCGGGGCGCCGATGCACCCAAGCGCCCAGCGTCACGGGGCGGTGGGTCTCAAGACGCACCTTTCCTGCCAGCCGGCGAGGTCGCGGCGGGCGGGGCGGCTGTCAGACCTGTTGAGTTTGTTTTTGGCCATCACGCAAGCGCGCTCACGGGGCCACGCGCCCTCGCGCACAAGAGTCGGTTGCTTCCATCAGCAGCGGCGCGCGCCCACCACAACCCACCTCCGGGCAATTCAACCCTCTCTTTCTCTTTCTCTCTCTTGCGCTTTCGGGCGGGCCCGCCACCAACCGTTTGCACAGACAGGGCGCCAGACAGGGCAAGATGTTACGTGGGCGCCGTTGCGCAAGAAAGAAAGACGACAACAATAGCAGGAATTGGGGGGGTGGGTGGAGGGAAGCGGGCGCTCAGCCGAAAGGTGATTTTTATTGTTCCGTTCTCAATGCGTCGCTCAAACTGTTTGGACCTCGAACAACATGTCTCCATCGTAGCGCGTGTATTTGTGTGTGTGTATGTGTGTGTGTGGGCGTGCGCGTCGCTGGGCTGCAAAACCGCACGGCGAGAGCAAAGGAACAAAGAAAAAAAAAAAAAGGTGGGGGTGTAAAGCAAAGCACTTCAGTGTGAGCTGAGTCGGGAATTGCGTCCTCACGCGTTTTCGTCGTCAGACTGACAGGAAACTGTGGAATTTCATCACGCGTCGCAGCCGCATCTCTCACCCGTGCGGGTCCTCTCGGTTTTGTTTTTTCCCCATCGTTTCCCAAACTGGGGAGGGAGCCTCGACGCGCGCACCGTCACCGCAAACTCTCGCGCAACCGGACAGGGGCGCCACGCGCGGCACCGACAGTGCGCCACCGGCCCAAGGGTTGTTGCGCTTCACGACCGGCGTGCCTCTTTCTCGGGGCGCCGATGCACCCAAGCGCCCAGCGTCACGGGGCGGTGGGTCTCAAGACGCACCTTTCCTGGCCAGCCGGCGAGGTCGCGGCGGGCGGGGCGGCTGTCAGACCTGTTGAGTTTGTTTTTGGCCATCACGCAAGCGCGCTCACGGGGCCACGCGCCCTCGCGCACAAGAGTCGGTTGCTTCCATCAGCAGCGGCGCGCGCCCACCACAACCCACCTCCGGGCAATTCAACCCTCTCTTTCTCTTTCTCTCTCTTGCGCTTTCGGGCGGGCCCGCCACCAACCGTTTGCACAGACAGGGCAAGATGTTACGTGGGCGCCGTTGCGCAAGAAAGAAAGACGACAACAATAGCAGGAATTGGGGGGGTGGGTGGAGGGAAGCGGGCGCTCAGCCGAAAGGTGATTTTTATTGTTCCGTTCTCAATGCGTCGCTCAAACTGTTTGGACCTCGAACAACATGTCTCCATCGTAGCGCGTGTATTTGTGTGTGTGTGTGTGTGGGCGTGCGCGTCGCTGGGCTGCAAAACCGCACGGCGAGAGCAAAGGAACAAAGAAAAAAAAAAAAAAGGTGGGGGTATAAAGCAAAGCAATTCAGTGTGAGCTGAGTCGGGAATTGCGTCCTCACGCGTTTTCGTCGTCAGACTGACAGGAAACTGTGGAGTCCCGTCGCGCTTCATCCACGCACACATCGCCTTCACATCCATCTCTTCGGGGTAATTCATGATGATTCGGTGGGGATCTCGTTGACGCGCAAACTCCTGAATGTCCCTTACCTTTGGGGATGCCAGCCCAATCGTGCCCCATCCGGTGGAGGGCGCAAAACTTATCGGCAGCTGTGGCCCATTCGTTGGCACATCGTAGATTATATACCCTTTCATCCCACGCTGCGACAAACTCAACACAACACTCACAGATTCTCCAATACCCACGTATTTTGTCACCGTCTTGGTGGTCTTGTCAAAGACGTAGGCCTCACCCTCTCCAAAACAGTGGACAACCACTTGGATTTTCTCGGCATCGCAGTGCAGCAGCTGGTAGAGAAGGTACGAACCGGCATTCATCGACTTCCCGATCCCGGGCGTCCCAACCAACACACGCTGCCTAAGCGTGGGGTCGTACCCACCGAAACCGTCAGACAAGTCTTCTATATCACGCTCAACAATCTGCCACACTCGATCCACCTCACAGTTCACATAACAGTCAACAATGGGTTTATTCTCCCTCCACGAGTACGGCCATCCCTTGTCCGAGGTGAGCACCATCAGCCTGGGACGTGGTGGTCTGAATTGCTCCACACCGTCATCCTTTTCGAATGTTAGACCTTCCTTCTTGTACGTCCATGACTGCGGTGGTTTTCCCTCATGTACCTCCATTCGATCCTCACAAATCTTATCGTCATAAAACCCCAAGACATGGCCCCACTTCGCACCGTACACAGACTCGTAGAATCCCTCCAGTTTAGTTGTCTTTTCTTCAGTATTCTGCCTCACATCTTCTTCTGCCATCCGCTTCGCCCTTTCTTCTGCCTCCCACCTTGCTACTTCTTTCTGTATCTGAGTGAGGGCATCGTTAAGTTTTTTCCTTGTAAGGGGAGTGACAGTATCCTTCTCTTCAAATTCAATCCAGTCTTCGAGATAGTTCAAATGCCCGTCCGCAAGCTTGCGCCTATCTCTTAAAAGCTGATAATCCTTTAAATTAGAAATTTCTTCAAGCAGCTGCTGGTCTTTTATGAAGGCATCGGGACTCCTCAAAAAATCCCACATATCCACATTCTGTTCTTCTTCAACGGCCGCCCTGGAGCCAAAATGCTCCCGAAGAAAAGCATTCAGCTTCATATCGGAAATGTCGGTCTCTCCGTCCAGCAGGATGTCCCACACGGTGCTGCACATGGTCCACTGTAGTTGCGCTTCCTCCACTCTTATGGGAGTCGCAGCGGGCTGAGCTGTGTCACCCTCAAGGTCCGACATCGCTCTCTTAAGAGAATCTCCCTGTGGCACAGTAGACGCTTGGCCCTCCTCATTACCGTGAATTCCTTTGCTTGGCCTTCCAGACATTGTTTCTTCTTGTTTTCTTAGTTGGATCGAGTTAAAGCTGAACACTAGCCAACAATCAAAAGGGAAATAAGAGAGAAATAAAATATGCAGAGAAATGAGTGACAGCCACAAAAATAGAGTCATCCACACAGCGTGATGCACACCACATGCACGGAGACCGCCGCAACGACGGCAATTGGGTGACATCCACCCAGCACAGTGTTGGAGAGCGCAAACGATAACAACAACTTGGTGGACACGGAGGGTTCGCCCACGCATCCCGCTCGCTACGGTCTCGCACCCCTGTGGCACCGCCGTCACCGCACACACTCGGCAAGAGGAAATGCTCGCACAACCCTGACACACACAAACACAGACACACCGCAGTGCTGTCCGTCCGCGGGTGGGAGGGTTCGGCCCTCCACACAACAAACGCACACACCGCCACCGCCTCCAGTTCAATCCCAAAGCCAACGGGATACGGCCACAGCCCGCTGCCAACACACAACGCACCCGGAGCGAGCTATCACCCAAAGAGCTACACGTTGAAATGGACCCTCACCCATCCACCAGTCACGCGGCACCAAAATTTACACAGCCATCCCGCCTTCAATGGAATGCGGCGCCTCACTCAGTGCCGTTACACGGAGTGCACTATTTCTCCAAAAGGAGCTATACTTCGTCCATCCCTCAAATATGTTTCCGTTTGTCATGGACCCTACAACAAAACAAAAGTAAAAATAAAATGGAAAATGCAGCAATACTGTGGCACCGCTAGACACAATGATTCTGCCACAAGAGAGCAACTCTCCAATTATGCCTCGTATGCGCACACAATCAACATGTTATACGAAAATCACCCAGTTTTTGCACCAAAAAAAAAAAAAAAAAACAACCCCACTCCCTCCATAATTTATTCCGTCACTGTTGTGTTCGATAGCGTTGGACATTCTTGGCATCTGTGTGCCTCAATGCCACCTGGTGCTGGTGCACCTGCACCGCATGGAAACAAAAGCATCAAACTACATGAAAATACCCCAATATTTTTTTCACCAGATACCAAACTATCCCTTTCATTCCCCAATTTGTCTTGTTTTCCTATTTGTTGTTTTTTCCTCACTTCGGAGAGCTTCGCCTCTTCTAAAGACTCCGGATGGCATTGGCACTTGGTACTGGTGTACGTTGTTTTTCAGAAACACAGACTTCCTTGATTCTCCTCCTCGCTCACTACATTGGAATTGACAAAATCACATCTCTGCCAGCCACTCATCAGCACACTGTCTGCACGTAAATAAACTCCCACGAAATGTCTCGGGATAACTCCTCCCACCCAACAAAATATACCGTCAGGCAATCAGTGAACTGCCACACAGTGCTGGCGTTCCTGTGATGTCGACACGCCGTAGTTATCCGCAGCCCAACCAGCGGAGGTTTTTCTAGCCACTGGTCCTTTACATCAATCTTCTTAGGTCCGCGTTGCAATGGAAACAATCAAAATGGCTCGGTGAGATGTCCTCCGGGGTCACCCTCAGCACGGTGTTCAGTGGTTTTTGGGGCGCTGGCGACCTCAGCTCCTTAAGTTCCTCTGCTATTTTAATGAAAAAGGCCTCATTCCTGAATGCGTCCAAAGCATATCTCTCCAGAATTCCAGATGCAAAAGAGCATTCTTACTCTCCGTTACTGAAGACCAAAAAACTCCACAGCGGGGATTATCTTATCAATAAGGGGAGATAATCGATACGCGAGGTGACCAGATGATATGTCAGTCTTAAGATCCTCGATACCAAATACTCCTCTTTTTCGGTCAACACACATAAGTTTGTAAAACGGATTCTCGGTACACCATACCGCCGTTCCTCCACGTGTAACGTACCTTACATCATCCCGATTTTTTATCGATTTCAAGACACGATCAAGTTCATTATAGCGTTTACTGAAGCCATTCGCATCAAAGATGTAACGCGGAATCGGCCCCAGAAAAAGCATTTGATGGCAGACCATCCACCAGTATTTCTCTTGCTCCTGTGGAGTCCCGTCGCGCTTCATCCACGCACACATCGCCTTCACATCCATCTCTTCGGGGTAATTCATGATGATTCGGTGGGGATCTCGTTGACGCGCAAACTCCTGAATGTCCCTTACCTTTGGGGATGCCAGCCCAATCGTGCCCCATCCGGTGGAGGGCGCAAAACTTACCGGCAGCTGTGGCCCATTCGTTGGCACATCGTAGATTATATACCCTTTCATCCCACGCTGCGACAAACTCAACACAACACTCACAGATTCTCCAATACCCACGTATTTTGTCACCGTCTTGGTGGTCTTGTCAAAGACGTAGGCCTCACCCTCTCCAAAACAGTGGACAACCACTTGGATTTTCTCGGCATCGCAGTGCAGCAGCTGGTAGAGAAGGTACGAACCGGCATTCATCGACT